CCTGGGGGGGGTTTGGGGTTAAAAATTCCAGGGGTTCCCAGAGGGGGAAATTTCCATGGGATTCCCAGGGATGGGAATTCCAGGAGATTCCAGGAATGGAAATTCCCGTGGGATCCCAGGGATGGAAATTCCAGGAGATTCCAGAGGGGGAAATTCCCGTGGGATTCTCAGGGATGGGAATTCCTGGAGGATTTTAGGGATGGGAATTCCTGGGGATTCCCAAGGGATGGGAATTCCTCAGGATTCCCAAGGGATGGAAATTCCAGGACCCAAGGGATGGAAATTCCAGGAGATTCCAGGGATGGGAATTCCTGGGGATTCCAGAGGGGAAAATTCCCGTGGGATTCCCAGGGATGGAAATTCCAGAGGATTCCCAAGGGATGGGAATTCCAGGGGATTCCAGAGGGAAAAATTCCCGTGGGATTCCCAAGGGATGGGAATTCCTGGAGATTCCCAAGGGATGGAAATTCCTCAGGATTCCCAAGGGATGGGAAATTCCAGAGGATTCCAGAGGGGAAAATTCCCGTGGGATTCCCAGGGATTGAAATTCCCATGGGATTCCCAAGGGATGGGAATTCCAGGAGATTCCAGGGATGGAAATTCCAGAGGATTCCCAAGGGATGGGAATTCCCAGGGATGGAAATTCCAGAGGATTCCCAAGGGATGGGAATTCCTGGAGGATTCCCAAGGGATGGGAATTCCTCTGGGAATTCCAGGGGTGGGAATTCCTGGGATGAGGATTCCATTAATTCCCCAATTACCCCATTAATGACCATAATTAACCCCACTAATGACCCCAATTAACCCAATTAATGACCCCAATTAACCCCTGCAGGTGCAGAACATCTCCCAGTCCATGGAGGTGCTGGACCTGCGGATCCCGGGGTGTTCATTAACCCAAATAATTCCCCAATTACCCCATTAATGACCCCAATTAACCCCACTAATGACTGTAATTAACCCAATTAATGACCCCAATTAACCCCTGCAGGTGCAGAACATCTCCCAGTCCATGGAGGTGCTGGACCTGCGGATCCTGGGGTGTTCATTAACCCAAATAATTCCCTCAATAACCCAAATAATTCCCCAATTACCCCATTAATGACCGTAATTAACCCCACTAATGACCCCAATTAACCCAATTACCATCCCCAATTAACCCCTGCAGGTGCAGAACATCTCGCAGTCCATGGAGGTGCTGGACCTGCGCACCTTCCGGGACCTGCAGTACGTGCGGAACACGGAGGCGATGATGAAGGGCCTGGACTCGCGGCTCCGCGTGGCCTCTGAGAGCCACAAATCCCTCAATTCCCGCAGCTTCCAGGTGCCAAATTCCCGCTTTTCCCGCTTTTCCCATCCCCCCAAAATCCCTTTTTCCCAACATTTTTTATTCCCAGTTTTTTCCTGGAATTTCAGGATTTTTTCCGGATTTTTTCTGAATTTTTTTGGGTTTTTTTTCCTCTCCCCTGTCGGTTTTTCTTTTATTCCCTGATTTATTTTCTTATTCCCTGATTTATTCTTTTATTCCCTGATTTATTCCCCTCCTCATTCCCATTTTTCTCCTGGAATTTCAGGATTTTTTCCAAATTTTTGGGTTTTTTTTTTTCTCTCCCCCTCTCCATTTTCCTTTTATTCCCTGATTAATTTTTTTATTCCTGGATTTATTTTCTTATTCCCTGATTTATTCTTTTATTCCCTGATTTATTTTTTAATTCCCTGATTTATTCCCCCCCATTCCCATTTTTTCCTGGAATTTCAGGATTTTTTTCGCCAGAATTTTCCCCCAGGATCA